CCATACATTCGATCATGTTCTTCAGCAAATCGCGTGACAGAAATGGTCGGGCCGCAGGCCCGACCATTGCCGCCGGCAGGCCAAGCAGGCCCGGCCCGGCCCGGCGGAGCGAAGCGGAGCTGGCAACTTCGTTTGGCGGAAGGGCGGGCCTGCTTGTTATTAGGATAATGAATAAAGACAAATTAGGGATGGCATCGGGCATTTTTGTGTACGGCGAGGAGCGGTGGACCGCGTGGCCTCTCCACCGCTACCATCTGCGTTGCCAAGCATGCGCATGACAAATCGAGAACTCGTGGACAAATACGTCATCCGGAATCGGATGACAGCCACAATTCTAAAGTACTCGAAATCCATGAAAGTGAACTGAGGGAAGTATTCGCACAGTCATAACCGCCGCCCTTATTATCAGAGTTTCTCTGCTGGCGCTGGCGACACTGTCATCGTTGAACCCATATTCGAAATGTGGCCTAGCCTCTACGGAAGTTGTGGCGTGGCTCTACCGGGTACTGGAGCTGAGGCCCGGCGTAGAACCCGGTAACGGTGTCCAGCTGGCGGTGACTAGCGGAAGCGGCGACCCCCTCCATGGTTGTGCGCCCAGGAGGACGCCGTGGAAGTAGCCGCGGCTGCGACCTCGGCGGGGACAGCGGCGGCGAGGGCGCAGACGACAGCGGGCGTCGCGTCGCCTCGGCGGGGGGCTGGCTCGGCGGCGACGACAGCGCAGCGCCCGGCCGCACGGGGCGACATCTCGGCGGAGACTCCTCCGCGGCACGCCCCCGCTTCGGTCACACAGGCGGCGCAGGCGGCCCCCAAAAGGGGCACCGCTCGCCACGCCCCGCCCCGCCCGAGCACACTGCAAGCGCACCGAGCCGCCCGCGCCCCTCCCCTGCGCCAGCAGTTACGCCCCGTCCCCTTCCCCTCCTCTGTACTGCCGCGGGGGTGCCCCGGGCCTCGTCGCCGGGCAGGTGGAGGGAGGACGCGGAGAAGAGGCTTCGCGACAAGC